AATAGGTGCGATAATAAAGAACTTGGAGAAGGCTGCTAATAGGTTGTTGGCCGTGAAGTCATGTTATCATGGCAGTAACGTGACTTCATGGGTGATTGGGTGCTGAAGGAGGAGAAAATCTCCACTACTAATTTCCTTTTCATGCTCCGGTAGCTCGTCTGATTTCAACTTAAGAGCTGTTGCTAGGAATAATGACAGCAGGATTGGAACTATACTAGGATTTAGGGTTGCATTCATTTCCCAGACATCTTAACAAGTGCATTTGCATCCAATAGAATTCTGGAAAAAGAGAATATAATTTTGGGTTGGGTTCGGGCAAAGAGGGGGGGGGGGGTTTGAAATGTAAGAGAGAGAGAGAGAACCTGCAATGGTTATTATACTTCACTTCAAGTTACCTCTGCTTGCGTGGTCGAAACGTCAGAAGCTATTACTTGACGGTTTTGCATCCTTCTGTGAGAACGAAATGTGAGATTATACCTGAGGCCTTGTCCATTCTTCCGCTCAATTTTGTTCGGCAGGCTTGAGAGCAGTTGTGCTTTGTGGAATCCTGTTCTTCTAAGTGTTCCAGTTGGTTTTGAGGTTATAATGCTTGTCATTGTGATTTTTGCTGGATGAGTGTTGTGGTAAGCTCAACATAAAAATCTAGAATAAGGACATGGAGGTTACTCAAACAAGCTGGATCCTTGATTCTTTCCATTTCCTGCTTCTTGAACCATTTCGTGTGGGCTGCATTGATCTAGAAATTGACATGTTTTGGAGTATTGTAGTCCTCTGGTCATTAGTAGTTGCAAGTGTGGTGGGGAAAATAAAAGATGAAACTGACTGTATACTGTAGTAGCTGGCTATGGAAAATCTTCAAACATTTTCATATGCAATTCCTGACTTTGACAGCATTTTCTGTCATTGTCATCCATTTGTTTCGATTAGCCAGTAAATCCAAGTCATAGTCTGTGGAAAGGAGTTCTAGAAATTTACCCTCCTCTTTCCAGAGAATGGCCAAGAAATTTATTAATCGCTGCCTCACTGGCCAATGAGTCGGAGCCCCGAAGTGACTTCTGGGAGAGAAGATTCCATAAGTACCCAAAAAAAGAGAGAGAAAATTCTATTCCGTCTTATTTCATTATGGAACATTTTCTTTGTTAACATTTTAAATGTTAATAAGATTATCTGTTTCACTTGTCTTTATTTTTGTATCGGGATGATAATTTCTAACCTAGTCCTTGAGAAGGGGAGGATCCAAGAGGGTTGGTTATAAAAGCATCATATAATAGTTGTTTTTTGGGAGATTAGAATCGCCATCTATGTTTATTATTAGAGTATTTTATGATAGTTGAAAGATTAGAACCGCGACATATGAAGGGACTGTAACTTAGCTGACTTGAGTTTGTTCCTTTTCAATCATCAAAGTTCACTAACCCAATTAAATTTTCCTTAATCAAAGGCCATTTTTACTAGGATAGCTTCAAGGATGTTTTATCTTTAAAATTTGATAGGAAGGATAGGTTCCTTAAATTATTATACACATTATGGAGATTCTATCCCTTTAGTTTAGCTGAGTTTTCATATATATATATATATATATATATATATATATATATATATTATCTGCATATAATATGATAATTAACTTGCAGAAGGTGAGACAAATACTAGCCTTATGTGTAGAACTATAGCTCTAATTATGAAATTTAAACAGAATCTCTTCTGAAATTTGACTTTGGTCGTGTATACTGCTAAACCAAGCATCATTGCAGTGTATGAAATATTCTTAAACCAAAAAAAAAAAGTGTATGAAATATTCTAATTGCCTAAATACTCCTACTGCAATTAATCCCTTCTGTCCTCGATCAATTGGACAAAATTGAAAGGAAAAAAAATCCACAGTTCGGAGGGAAGTTAAGAGTTATTAATCACACGCTACTGCTAGCGCGTCAAGAATGAATGAGTTAATTGTACTAACCTCGATGGGCGTGCCCACTACTTGAAGAATATTATGAGGTTAAATAGTTGTGCAGTGAAAATGACTGTTGGCCATTACCATGATCTCAAGACTTTGTGGAATGGAAGATTAAATATTCAAATTTTTCGCTCACCACTTGTCATTATACTAACTTAGATTTTAAGTGACTTAAATTTATATGAGTGTGTAATGTATCCGTCTGATTTAATGGTGATTCAATTGACATCGATTCTTCAATACGGTCCAGTGCAGTAATGTGCGTGGGCGCACTCTCTATTGGGGGATTCAGACTTTTTTGAAAAACAATTTTTTTCATCTACAATGCTACAGTAATACACAAACAAAAATAACTCCAAAAATATCATATCCATACAATATATCAAAAATAATTTCAAATATACTAAAAAAATACACAACTATCCATCACTTTCCACCACCACACCCACGATCCTCTCTCCTCTCTCCTCTCTCCTCTCTCTCTCCTCCCCTCTTTCCTTCCTCTCTCCTCCTCCTCCTTCATTTTTTCTCCTCCTCCCTCTTTTTCTCCTTCCTCATTTCTTCTTTCCCTTTCCCCGCTCCCCAATTTCCTTCCCCTCGACTGATCGCAACCTTTTTAGTCACGATCAAATCTGATCACGAGCAGAAGCCGCAACCAAAACTGTCGTTGTTAGAGTGGTGGCTAAAGTCACAGCCACCACCTGCGAGCGAGAGAGGGGTTTGGGGTTGAGGGGAGGGTGGAGAAGGGAGACGGGAGAGGAAAGAGGGAGGAGGAGGGGGAGGAAATAGAGAGGAGGATGAGAGGAAGAGAAAGGAGAGAAGGAGAAGAAAAGGGCGGGAATAGTGGTGGGTCGTGTAAAATTTTAAAAAAAATATCTCAAAAAAATTATAAATTATAAAAATACTTAAAAATATATTTTAAAAATACCTCTAAATACAATCAAAAAAACATTTACAGTAAAAATTTTTCATATACACAGTTACAGTAAAGTTTTTAAAAAATACCTTCAAAAACAGCTAATCCAAATACAGCTATGGGTAAAAAAGCGACTGTGTCAATTTGGTAATTTAACTGGAATATTAAGGGCAATTATGGAACCAAGGAGCTGACGAACAGATCTGACGTTTTGCCAGATTAGGTCAAGGGTTGACATGGCGGACAAAATATCGGGCTCGTTTTCCAAAATATTCCCTCCTACAGGTGCTCAACACATATCCATTTAATAATTTTCTCTGTTCTTATTCAAAATTCACCATTTTAATTCCTTAAACTAAAATAAGAAAATAATTGATTCCCCACAAAAAAATAGAAAAGAAGTAGAATGTAAAACTGCAAAAGTAACGAATCCGAAGAAACGCAAGCAAATATATTTTTGAATAGTAAATTATTTGGGATAATTTTTTTAAAAAAATACTATAGCATTTTTTGATATGATGTATGTGAAATAAAAAGATGATTAAAAAATTTGTTGCTGATAAAAGCAAATAAATTTTTTTTGTGCAAATAATCAACAGTCCAAACAATACCGGAAGAAATGCAATCTTTTGTGTTTTGCCTTGTGAACAATTCTCTCCAAACAGACTCATTGATTTCTTGTAATGCAGCTTAAACACATTTTAAATCCTTGTGTTTCCTATTCATATTCATTCCTTAATACTTAATAGTTGGATTTCATTACATTTGATTCTTTGTTGGAAGTTACAACTTTAAAGGCCACCTCATTGTCCACAATTCCTTAACGTTGACAATTTGCCAGATTGGTTTGTTAAAATTGAATTGTTTGTTGTCTAAAGCATAAGTGATGAGATGCATTAAAGTGACATTGGAAGGGCTGAACGTTGACAGTTTGCCAGATTGCTAACAGTCCCAAACATTTTGGAATTTCTAATTTTTAACTATAAAACAAATATCAGTTCATCTCATCAGATGGTATTTTAACTCACAACCAACTTGTCTTAAGCAAGTTGGCTACCAAAACGGATTTAAAATTCTTGTTTGAATAGGTTGAAAGTTTAAATCCCGCATTGTGCAGTTAAAACAATTCAAAGGGTATGCTAATGCATCATTTTTATCTCGATGGATCTATCTCTCGAATATGTCAGATTACTCTTTTGATCTAAACGAGTCTATCTCTCCTCTAGTCCCTTATATAATCCAATTGGATTTTCCTTAAAAAAAAAAGAAAAAAAATTTATTTGAAATAATTATTATGATACTTTTTGTGACGTGATATATATAAAATAAAAAAAAATATATTTGTAATGCAAGCAAACTAATATTTAAAAAAATTGTGATCTACAAACATATCCAAATTTGTAAGAACAAAGAAGAATACGGATATACATTTTCCGACATTTTCTGCCCATTTCAGATGTGACAAGTTCGTCATTAGCAATCTGGTGTTCATCCAGCCCAGTAGTTAGCGGGAAGGCTCCAAGGGATAAGGGTAGAATGTCCAACTCAAGTCATTCACTCTATTTGGATTAAGTTATTCTAAATAATATTTTGCTTATATAGAAAATATAACTTTTAATCAATTTTTTTTAAATTTTTTAACAAATTTTTTTATCTCATATATATTATATCTCAAAAAATACTATAATAATTATTTCAAATAATATTCTACCAGACAAAAAGAAAAAAAACACATTACACATTCTATTAAATAAAAACTTAAGCGACTACATACTCGCTGAATTCCTGTCTTGTTACCCAAAAGGGATTGTTTTGCTGGTCTTCTCATCCCTACCTTTGCTTTTTCAACGCAATGGAGTAAATCAATAATCAAAAGCTGGTGAAAAAACATGAGGATAATGTCAAGAAAAATTACTCACATTAAGTCATTAACTCAACAACCAATACGAGGGATCAAGAGTTACTACAGCCAATTTAAAAAGTTCTCAATTCAGGATTCACTATATTCTCAAAACAAAACACTCTCTTCCAAAATCTAATAACTTGTCATTAGCATAATCAAGAAACAGCCAAAAATTACAAGCAAAACAAATACTACTCCACTATTTTTTTTTTCCCCACCTTCATTGGTTCCATGTGCCAGTCTGCACATTTTCCCCCTCCAACCAACCAAAACCAAGTGAAATGCCCAAATCCAACCCCATCTTTCCCTGCTCATCAAATGCTTACTTGTCCCTCTTCATCTTCACTCTCTACACCATGACAAGAACCAAGAGAAAAAGAAGAAAACAACAACATAAAGAGCACTAGAAATAAATACTAGTATGTCAAAATGTACTGTACTATTACCTCAAATATCACAAAACTCACCACAACTCACCTCACATTTTCTGTCTTTAACAAAGACAACCAAAAACCATCCCTGCCAATCTACCATACCAATTCTGATTCCTGAGCCCATTTCTGAGCGCAAACCAGAGCATAGTACTAAAAGTGAAAGTGCAAAAGAGGAAAGGAAAAGATGTGTTATGTGGGGAAGGCAACCAAGATCTTCATCTTCATTATCACAGTTCTTGTTGTGACTGGACTCATCTTGGGATTTGGGCTTCTTAGGCATGGCAATCACAAGTCCCACAACAGCAAATGTTCTGGTGATGCTTGTTACCAATCTCCAGTGGTGCCTAACCCCAGTCCACCAAGCTCGTCTCTTACAAGTCCTACTCCAAATCCTAATCCTAATCCTAGTCCTAGCGAAAGTTCAGTACCACCACCACCACCACCAGCAGGAGGAGGAGGACTAGCACCGCCTGCGGGTGGTGAAATTCCTAGCCCACAAAATCCCTCTACATCAGTACCACCACCACCACCACCACCACCATTACCAGCACCAACACCTCCAGTACCTCCAGTTCCACCATTATCTTCGCCACCTCCGCCGCCTCCACCGCCATTGGTTTCACAAGCTCCACCACCAGCATTGAGCCCTCCAAGTCCAGCCTTGGTTACACCAGGTCCCAGCCAATCTTTGCTGCATTTGATCTCTGACTGATTCATTCATCTCACTTTGCCAATTTTTCCTTTTATTTTATTATTATTATTTTTTTGTTTCACATCTGATAGTATCTTAAAATTGGTTATCTTTAGATGTCTTTTCTTTTGTATAGAAAAATTTTGGATGTCACTGCAATTGGTATTTTGCTTCAGTGACAATTTCTTTTTCTTCGACAAATTTAAGCTTCGAATTTGTTAAATAGGAAATTCTGCTATGATCTTTTTTTTTTCCTCGTGGCGTGGTATTCTTTCATTTTAATTGTGGCATGGAAAATTGTAAATTTTATGAGTAAAAAGCTCATATGTTATTCAGCCAAATATTAGACACCTGTCCATAGAATTTGATGCATTTATGATGAAAATGAGCAGAAACCTGTATATTCTTGTTAATGTCCTTGGGATGTCCATGTGCAAGAATTGTAGGGTTGGTCTGAAAAGCCCTAATGCTTAGCTAGATCGTTACATGTGGACATGTCCAATAATTAGGGCCATGTGAATAATTCTTTTTAAGGATGACAATTTCTGAAGCGGCAAGATAATACGATTAAAATACAATCCAAAAGTTTTAAGTTTATCACGATTTGAGTGTAAGTGAATTATTATTGAGCCAATTCATTAACGATATTAACTTAAGCAGGTCGAATTGGACTAGCCTGCAGGTTATCACGCTAATTTGATAAAAAAAAAAAATGAACATCACTAAAAATTGTCCCCCATCTTGTTTTTCTTTCCTTTTATGACAGCCTCAGTGTCCGTTTGTTTTGGTGTAAACTATTTTTCGAAAAATCCTTTTCCAATTTTCCAATGTTTGGATGCAATTAGACCACTGAAAACCTTTTCTTCAGCAAATGATTTACATCCTTTAGTGGAAAACAGGATACGGGGCACAAACGGTTGCAGGTGCGTAGGTTGTCTTCATTTTGCACTGCGCGTAACATTGGTTAAACACGATATAACTTTTTTTTCACAGGATGTATTTTCACAACAGATAGTGGTGGGCCCCACACTTGGCGCGGAAATCGAGTTACATGGTGTAATCTCAGCCGCACAAAATTTTGAGGGCAAATCTTGGCCCTTAACCGTGCATGGATACTGATGACCGTCCCTGCCCCAAATCCTGGAAAACAACTTACGCAATAGATTTTCTGAAGTTATTTTTCCCAACTACCGTGAGTTATGAACCTAACATACCAAACTACCTATTCGTAGGGGGGTAACGGGGACGGGTACCCGTGGGAGGAGTAATGGTGCGGGCGATGGGGCGGGGGCGGGGGCGGGGAGAACTTTTCTCCTTGTTTTAAACGGGGAGTGACCCCCGCCCCATTCCCCGATTTATTAATATAAATAAATGTTATATATTATATAATCTACTAATAAATATAGAATATTCGACAACTAAATAAAATTTTTATCTCATTTCTATCTAAATTCCTAGGTGATATTTGCTACAAACATATTATGCGTTCTATGAATATTCTCAGATTTTATCTATACAATCCAATTGAGTTTCTTAATTTTCTTGATGTTTTATTTCAACACTTTTCTTGTTTCATTTTTTATTTTTCACTTTTTCCAACTCCGTATTTTATTTTATTGTTTGAATTTAGGTTTGATCTATTGAATAAAAGATTCTAGAAAAAACCAAATTATCAACCACGAGCAACTGCAGGAGAAGCCGGGGGGGGGGGGGGGGAAAAGGGCGGGGGGAGTTTTTTTGGCAATTTTGGGGTGCTCTGTCCTCAAACCCGCCCCCGTTGCCATCCCTACCTATTCGTATCACGACTGCATATTCTTGTGAGACCTTATTTTCTTGTTTGGGAAAGAATTAGTTTATGTCTTTAAGAATGATAAACAATGTAGAGTACTTGCAGATATTCTGTCAAAATGATCTTTTAAAAGTTAACCAAACATCAGAAAATCATGAAACGTAAAAATATTTTCATGGAAAATGTCTTTCACTGAAAATATTTTCTCATGAAAAACATTTTACTCGTTTGGGAAAGAATCAGTTTAGGTCTTTAAGAAAGATAAACAATGTAGAGTACTTGCAGATATTCTGTCAAAATGATATTTTAAAAGTTAACCAAAAATCAAAAAATCATGAAACGTAAAAATATTTTCATGGAAAATGTCTTTCACTAAAAATATTTTCCCCATGAAAAACATTTTACGTCGAAACAAACGGACAATTGAATACTACAAAACCGCTGCCCTGATAATGGAAATGTCATTCGGTTGTTCGTGGATTAAGAAGGTTGTTGAATAAAGAAGGCTAGTAAGATGCATGGTTGCATGAGTTTACAAGTTTCGTTTATAGATTTGTTTTTTGTTGAAAACAAATTTCAAAGTTTTGGAATTTTTTTTTTAAATTTTGAAATTCTTAAATTTCTTTAGGATTAATCTTCTATGCATTGATAGTATGTACATTGTCATGTTTAGATGATTGCTACATATGCTAAATTTGAATTTCAAATCTAAATTTCATTTATGTGGTATTTATCTAACGATGATAGTGTATACATTGTCAGTGTATATAAGATTTACTCATTTCTTTATTACTTTGAACTTTGAAGACCTTATTGAGCAATTTGTCATTGAAAATTCTTTAATAACAACACTAAATTATGTACATAAATAAATTAATAGGTTTAAGAGAGTGTCAAACAGGTTCATTTAACATGATTATTATGGCTAAAAATACTTAATGGGTTAAGTGAGTTGGATCGTATCAACCTGTTGATATGTAAGTTATGACACAACACAATAGGACACAGAAACCTAATGAATTGGGTTCGAGTTGAGATTTTTCGACACGAACATGAAAAGGACACAACACGAATACGGTACCACACATAATCCATTGCCACCTCTAATTCTTTCCTTTTTCTATCTATCTTCCTGACAATGTGGATTAATTCTTATTCTTCAATATTTTTCCTTTGGTGCAATAGCCTTTACTACTTAGAGTTTAGGCATATAGGACTTATTTTAAGTTTCTTATTGGTGCTAGTGTGTTTGGACAGGAGATTATTTGTCCAAATATATTTGCTTACATCACCATTACAATTTTCAATACACCTTTTTATCTTCCCAATTACCTTTTTATCTCACATACATCAGATCACAAAAAGTACTACAGTAAAAATATCTCAAATAATTTACAATCCAAACACACATAATTATTGTGAATTGGTTAATCAACCCTACTTCAAAAAAAAAAAAAAAAAACCTACTTCAAGAAGACAAAAAAATAAATTAAAATAATTAAACAAAATAAATGAATAAAAGCTAGATTGACATATGATTTGACTAACTCATTAACGCTTCTTCTATTGTAAACAACATATTTTACTTGACTCATTTTATGTTTGCCTACATTTGACGAAGAAAATAAACTAACTTAAAGGCTCTGTATTTTTTTTTTTAAAGGCTCTATGTGGATTAGGTGTTTTTAGAGGTATCTTTTAAAAAATTTACTGCAGCAGTGCATATTTAAAACTCTTACCGAATATTATTGGGGATGTTTTTGAGAATGTATTTTGGGGTATTTTTAGAATTAAAAATTTTTAAGATAGTTTTAAAAAATTTAAAATAATACCATTCACCACCACCACCCATAACTCCCTTCTCCTCTCTCCTTCCTCAAACTCTTGCTTCCCCTCCTCAACCACCACGGAAGCCACATTTAGAAATGGCAAGGAAAATTTTGAAGTACACAAGCACCACATCTGATATGGGATTGCTGTACAAGAATGGAGCTGATTTTTCACTACATAGATACACAGATGCTGATTTGGGAGGAGATTTGGATGATCATAAATCTACTTCAGCATATGTATATCTGTGTGGTTCAATAGCAGTGTCATGATGTAGTAGGAAACAAGATTCTATTTCACTATCAACAACAAGGACGGAATACAAAGCCACTGCTCTTGCTACTAAAGAATGTGTATGGCCTAGAAGGCTTGTTAAAGATATTTATCTTCCTATTTCTAGACCCACTAAAGTTTTTGGTGACAATCAAAGTGCTATCAAGCTTGCTTCCAATCTAGTTTGTCGTGCAAGAGCCAAACATATTGAATTAAAGCACCATTTCATTGGAGAGAAAATTCTTGATGGTATTATCAAAGTTTTACACATACAAAGTGATAAGAATGTTGCAGATATTTTAACTAAGGCACTTTCTAAGGCAGTTTTTGAGGTGCTTAAGGCCAAACTTGGATTAGTTTCCAAAAAATCACTTTAAGGGGAAGTGTTGAATATTAAAGTTGATTTTTTTAAGACTAATGAAGAGCAATTAGTTTGTCATTTACCATTGTTACTTTTTTGTAGAGTCTAGAATTATCTTTTGGTTTACTGAAGTCATTTAGTTGTTAGTTGGTATTAATTGTGAGGGGTTCATGTCTTTCTGTATATATAATTGTATCTGATGTGAACAAGACAACAACAGGAGTTGTTTTCTTATGTAAATACAGTTCATTCTTAACTATCTTTTTCACAGCTTATTACTAGTCCTGAGTTGGTGTACTATGTTCTACATCATTTTCTATAGCATTAACACTAACCTTGATAGTGCCTACTATTTCTTTTCTTTTCTTTTTTGTCCCTCCCTCCTTTTCTCACACTCTTCTTACTCTCAACTCAGATTTAAGATTCGAAGTGTGAACCTGATAGTGGGGAAAACTCCTCCCTTTACCAATGGGTCATTAATAATACCTACTAATTCTGGTATGCAGTGCAATTTAGTCAATAAATTAGTTGGATCTATAAGTTCTAAATTTGTTGATTTAAGTCATCAAATGAGCAGGTAGAAATTCACCATATATGATCCTTCAATAGAGAGAGAGAGAGAGAGAATTCTTTATCTTGCACATCAGCTCAAGGAATTTTTGCGGTCGACAAATTGAAAACCAATTAAAGTTTGAGTCATTCTAATGAATAGCTTATGAGATAAACCCATTTTGGAGAAGCCTTGATTTGTAGATCAAAAACCCTGTGAATCTAGATGCTTTTCTATGAGGGAAAATGCACATTTCATCCCCAATGTTTAAGGTATTAATCAATTTCGTCCCTAAAGTTTCATGCAAAACACATTTCATCCTTATTATTTTTAATTTTGACCAATTTTGTCCCTAAAGTTTGTATAGAACAATTTCATCCTCATAATTTTATAATTCCTACCAATTAAGGACAATTAAATGATTATTAACCAATTTAGACATAATAACATCACATGTCCCATTAATAATTGTATTATGAATACTTAATTCAATTATTGATTAAATTATAGAAATAACAACGAGTGTTTTTGTGATATGATGTATTTGATACAAAATAAATAGATTGAAAGATAAATAAATGATTGAAAAACATGTATATGATGCAACAAACAAAATTTTGCAAATAAATGACAATCCAAACCATTTGTTCTTTCGCATTAATATTTTTCTCCAATTAGTTGGAATGGGTTTCTTTGACATTTTTCTCCAATTGGCTATAGTAGGGTTGTTTCTTTTGTACTGATTTCATTTTTTTTGGATCTTCAAGTTTGATTGTGATTAAAAAGGGAGTAATGGTGGTTAAAAATTTCTTAGTCTTTTTTGTACAAAAATGAGAAAGTGAATTAAGAAAAGATTTTTGAGTTTTTGTTGATCCAATATATATTTTTTTAACTAATAGGCATGCCATGGTCAAGTGACGCTATTCCATTCAAATTATTTGACAATCTACCAATTGTCCTCAATTAACCAAATTTAGGAAACTATGAGAATGATATGTGTTTGCGTAAAACTTTAACTATGAAATTAATCAAAATTATAAAATTATAAGAATGAAATGTGTTTTGCATGAAACTTTAGGATGAAATTGGTTAACACCTTAAACATTAGGGATGAAAATTGCATTTTACCCTTTCTATAATCATCAGCCTTACACTGTTCAGCTTTTATTGTTCTTGGTTAATTGTAGAGATAACCATATTCTGCCGTCCATACTTTATCCAATGACAACGACTTAGTTTTATCTCATTTTCTTCTGATTATTAATGCTTTAATCATTTTGCAACTTCCAATGCCCCTATACCATGGGAGGTCTCCTACCAGGAATGTTATTGATTGTCGATGGGTAACTTCTAACGTTTCAATCTGGTTCAAACTCAAGTCAACCAATGCTACAATTCTGGACAGGCTGGACGGTTGAGTAGGACCGGGTTTGGATTCATTTT